ACAAGGTCTTATATACATAGCATTTTATTAGCGTAACTGATCAAGTTTTACACTGAAAAATGCCTCAACAAAGGTTATGTTTAGACTTTGTATCTGGTTTGCTTGCCAGAGAAGCACAGCAAGAAGGAACTGAAGTGAATGTAAATTAAACAAATTAACATGGTTAAATAAATCCCAGGTGTATAAGATTGTCTTTATGGCATCCAGCATTCTTTGGAGCACCATTCAGAAGTTTCCTTTATTTATATATGAAATGTTTTAAGGCCACATACACAATAAAGAAACTGTGGCTGAGTTTTTCTTATCACCCCAGATAAGAATACTGTGTCACTAGCCCAGTAATGCATGAGACTTCTCAGAGGATTACATGCAAGTGTCATTAAAGTGATAATGAGGTGTAGGAAAGTGAAGAAGTTGCTGATGGTACAAAATGAATATTAATTTTGTTCACATCGCAAAGTGTCCAAATTTGGGGGACACAGGCATAGAACAAAACAAAAAACTTAAAATAAAGTAAATAAACAAATTAAACTGCACCTCCATCAAATACAAGGGGTATGGAATACTGTACTTGATTGAGGCATTATGCTACAAGCCAGAAGGTCGTGGGCTCGATTCCCGATGAGGTCGTAGAATTTTCAATTAACCTAATCCTTCCAGCCACATTATGGCCCTGGAGTCGACTCAGCTTCCAACAGAAATGAGTACCAGAAATCTTCTTGGGAGTAGAGAGTGGCCGGCACGTAAGGCTAACAACCTTATTATCATCTCTGAGCCGAATGTCTAAAAAATGTGGAGCCCTGACATCTCAAAACCCTATGGGCCTCCATGGCCTGTTACAGGAACAGCTTTACCTTTTACTATCAAATACCATATAGATTTTTAAGTGTGTTTTGTTGTATGCCATATGCCAGTTTTAAATCCTGGCTGGGACTCCCAATTATCCTCACTTTGCTTTATTTTGTGGGTTTTCTCAGTTGCTCCTGGAAAATGACATGGTAGTACCTTAAATTAGGTCATAACAGCTTTCTTCCACATCCTCTCCAATTCTTTATTTGCTGTAATACCATTTTATGCCATACACTGTTATCAACAGTTTGTTAAATAAACTACTTATTAAGAATAGTAACTTGTTTAGTGCGTATAATGCTGCTTTCCCATGTGCACAGATTATAGTGTGTCTAATGAAAATGAAAAGAAAATGAATTGAAAAGGATGTAGAATGGCTTATTTAAAGATATTGTTGAAGCATATTCCTGGATAAACTGAGGAACTCTCTCTGAAGACATGCAACTCATGAAAAATATTATGGTGGTTAGTTGTGCCTGGAGGTTTCGTAGAAGGCACATAATGAAGACGATATTTTGAATACATTTACTAAAATCACTAAAACTTAAGACACATAATTCATGTTCAGAAGCAAGAGATGTTACCTGTTGAAACAATGAAGTGTAGAATTCATGCATGATGTCTCCTGCCTCCATCAGAAAAATTCCCCTTATTATCTTGAAATGTACTGAAAGATTGAATTCATGCTGAAATATTGGTTTAACCATAGCGCAGGCTGCTTTCCATTTCTCTTCTACAAGTCTCAAAAGGTTAGCTTCCAGTACTTGTTTAACAGGCAAGATCTGATGTCCGCTGTTTTGAAGCAGTCTGTGAAAATGTATAATTCATTCATTTGTTTCATTTCTGTTAATCCAGGCTGGTACAACCGTTGGATATAGAGGAAGTCAAGGAACATGCATGTATAATAAGATGATGTTAAATCTCTATAGTAGGTCAAACCATAAACAGAGTTCCAGAAATAGTACCTAAATCTGCTGCAGACTGTCTATTGGCATACAGCTGAAGTTTATACACAGCCCTTTCCCTCATGAAGGGAGATGGAGGAGGGGTGTATACCATTACCTCATCAGACAGAACTGTTACTGTTCCTAATGCAAACACCAATCACAAGTTACACTACTCATCAAACTTATTTAAAACTATCACAGATAATTATAAGTTAGTCCTGTGAGGAATGCATTAAAGCAGTCTCTATAATATGGAAGTGATTCTGAATTCAAGTTGTTACAGTTTTAGTTTCCTCATGCAATTAAAAAGCCACAATCCATATTGCCAACATACATTATGATCCACCATGTAAAACACTTTACAGTTCTTCTATATTAAAGTGTCATGGACCAACATTCTTCTTCATTCTACTACATGTTCCTCTTTTCAGTGAAACTGAACAGGCATGTGGCAGGATTCTGTAAAGGTGAATGCACTGGGAGACAAGGACTCCAGTAACAGCATAATGTGTTGAGGAACATTTCCTTCATATGAGTTCACTACTAACTCAGTAATATACAACAAAGTCAACAAAATACTGAGAAGGTTATATTCAGAGAAGAGTATTTGTTTTACCCCATTTTACTTTATTCCTGCCATCTTCTGGCTTTTACGCTGCATTGTTAGAGCACAAAACACTTTTATCTTTGTCTCTTTCAATCTAAACACCAAAACAAGGATTTTTTAAGAGAAAGTTATGCAGGACTGAGAGATAAGAGATGATGAAGTCCCATTATAAAATTTTGAATATTTTTCACTTCATAAAACAATTGTTCCCAATTTATGTCTCATTATGATTCATATCTGGTTGATATAAATAAAAGTTAGTCTAGTAATCTAAGAAAATGTCTTGGAAACATGGTGATTTACCCCATCTATTCTATTTTTTTACAAAAAAAAATAGCCTATATTTGTATATCAATTGCCCCCCACCACCATCACCCAAAAAAAAGTCAGCCTTGATAGTCCACGCCACAAACATAAAATTTACTGACCAAGTGGCCCACTTAAAGACTTTCGACATTTGTCATGTACATAATTTACATTTTCCCTTCAAAGAGACTATATTTCATATCCATAAAAATATATTTATAAAGAGGCTAAAAAACAAAATGTACTTACAAAGGTCTCTGTTCACTTATCTCTGGGAAAATAATTTTGAAACCCAGGTTATAAATCACTGATGGTCCAAGCTGGTGTTAAACTTACTACATTTAAATATAGGCCTATTAGTCTACTGGTTACTGTACGAGGTTAGCAGGGTTCCAGGTTTGATCTTAACAATGATTGTTGAGTCTAAGTGAAAAAATAAAACCAGTAAAAAATATGTTAGTATACCAACCAAACACCTAATGATGAGATATAAGCACCTCCTGATAATCAAGCATATCAAATATGCCTCAGAAAATAATGTAATTATACATCAACTGTAACCAACTATAAAAACATAATACTGGGCTGGCTGAATAAAGCTGTCAACTTAATCCACTCACAGGTAAAGGAATGCTTACCTTGCATACAACTGTTGTTCTTTCTCTTTCAAACCATTTATACATTCATCTTCCTGCACAACATCCTGGCCCACTTGCTTAAAGGGTAGGTAATTTTCAAAAGCTGTCACAAGGAAATCATCTCCACATCGTATTAAATGTTCCTTAATCTCCGTAAAGAAACTGTCAGATTCATTCACAAGGTTGGAACTGTCAGTAACATTACTGCTAGTATTCTCTCCCATATCCTGGTGATTGTCTTCTTTCAATGCAAATCTACACAAATCCTTTTCAGTATGTTCAATTAATTCTTCATATAGACAACCTATGAATGAAAACATTAATTATCATACAAAATAATTAAGTGTATGGAGCAGCCCTTCCTTAGAAACAAACAACTGCCCAGCTGGTCAAGAAATTCCGTACCTTTCATGAAACTTAAAAGGTCTTCTACCACGTTTATAAGAGCCTCGGCCCTATTCTGAGCCAGTCAAATTCAGTCCACACTCACCTTACAAATAATTTTCACATTATGCTCACATCCATGTCTAGACCTCCCCAAACATTCTGTGTGCGTAATTCGTCTCCACCAATCTCTACCATGCATGCTATGAGTACTGACATGTCAACCTCCTTCATTTGATCATCACAAAACTGTAAGAGTACCAACTGTGAAGTTCTTCATCGTGTAATGTTCTCCAACATCCTGTTACTTCCTCTCTCTTATGTCAAAAATGAGACTGCTTCTTATATTTTATGCATGTGTGAAACTCGGTCTCTCACCACACATGACTAACAAAGATCACAGGCATGAGGAACCAACTTAATGTCCATTATTTATTGCCCGTCAATATTGCAACACTCTTCCACTCACCACTCAATTTTAGTTTAAAATTATACACCTTGACTCTACATGTTTCATCCCCAAACAGCCATCTTCAGGTGTCTTGATATGTTACAAATATTTTATTAAATTATGTTAAAACTGCTACACTGTCTTAGTTCATGTTAAAATCACACACTGTAGTCCTCTTTTCAAGGTAAAACCAGATAAAATCCTTTAAAGTTCCTAGTATACCCAAGTTATTTTGGTGCATATTTTTCACCTCACACGGGGTGTCCTCCATTTTCATAAATATATGTCTCTCCAGGGTGTTTTATCTCGGCAGCTTGCCCCTCACGTTCGTAGCCTACATTTCAGTTTTGACTGCCATATGCCCCTGGTTTGCATGTTTCCTCCACAGTGTGTGTGTGTGGTGTTGTTTTACTAGTAAGACAGTGTAGCAGTTTTAACATAATTTAATAAAATATCTGTAATATATGAAGACACCTGAAAATGGCCATTTTGGGCTGAAACATGTAGTGTCAAGGTGTATAATTTCAAACTAAAATTGAGTGGTGAATGGAAGAGTGTTGCAATATTGACAGACGATAAATAATTGACGTTAAGTCGAACAATTGCAATGGGATGCTGAAATAAAGAATCATGAGGAACAAAGTTTCACACCCATATAAAATAGCAGATCCAACCACAGTTTAGTGTATTTTAAGTTTAAAGTAGGAGACCGGAAGACAAAAGATTCAGAACTGAAAGCAAACAAGCATCGCGCCTATACAATCAGCAACTCTCACATTGTGAGCGTGCCCTGAAGCCCCCATGGCTCAACAGTTCCTGCATAGAGCAAATACGCCACAATATAGTTAATCTGTATCATACAGGACAATTAACTATTTCACTAAGCTTATCACTGTTCTAAAAAAAAAAAAAAACAACAACAACAACAACAAAGTTTTAAGCTAAAAATCTGAAAAATTGTAATTCTTGTTTTTCAACAATGATTGTCAGCATTAGTAACACCCTTGTCCTTCCTCTCTGCTTCAAGTTCATTAATTTTGTTCTTCATATGTTCCTTCTTTCTCTTCCTGAAACATCATTCAGTTTCATATCTTACAGTGTTCTGATTATCTGCATTTCTTTGGTTCGGATTGTGCAACCACTGCAGTTTAGCCTGTTTCCGTTCATTTTATACATCTGAACATTTTTTATCAATATGTGGTTTGAATTCTTAATAACCTAGTCACAATTTCACTGAAGATGCATGCCACTATCCACAGAAATTTGTTTTCAAGAGAGGTCAAGACTGGTATACTGAATGAAGTACAGGTGTCTCTCTCATTGCCTCCTGCTGGTCAATTCCATGCATACTGACATCAACTTCTACACAATCTTGAAAACAGAATAAGAACATCCACACAAGCTTTGGATTTTATATACAAGACAATTAAATACAGTCAGTCATGTACAAAAATGAACAATTTCTTGGTGTAATTTTGCATAACATAGTAAAAACCTATAATTTAGTGTAAGGAAAGCCATTCTCCTACAGATCCCTCAATAGGGGTTTCATTGTATTGTGACATGTTGAGCTCTGAATGACGCCCCTCCCCCCCCCCCCCTCCGCCAGCCGTGATGCGCCGAGCGAAGCCGAAGCGAGCCGATGTTAGCCGAGTCCTAGCATCCTGGTCGCTAGGCAACGCAAGTCAACGCGGTGACATCACCGAGGGATATCGCGGTTACTAGGCAGCCGTCAACAACTCCAGACAGCGTGGCTAGCAACAAGGCACCAGGCGACGACTGTCCGATCGAGGCTACATAAGGAGCAGCGAAGGCTATTCACAGTCAGTTGTACTGTGACAGTCGCCGAGTGCGTTATCAACGACTTCTCAGTTCGCAAGTTACGAGCTACAGCCGCGTGTGCAATAACCAGTGATCACCAGTCATATCTGGAGAGTGTAATTCAGGGAGACTTGTATAGCTCCCGCATTATTAGTACGTGAAGACTCTCGAAGAGAGTGTTAAGAGATTTCGTTCTAGGGTTTGTAAAGTGTGGAAACCCATAACATTGTTATCATTAATTGTAGCCGTTATTTGAAGATTGTTAAATAAACCAATTAACCATCTCTACGGCGTCTTCTGTAACGAAACGCGTTACAGTATGTTACTTACATCCATGAAGCTCTAACAACTTCCAAACACAAAGTTAGTATGAGAGTCCAAACAAATAACTATAACACATACCTCGCGTCTCGGTTAGCCTGCCCATCTTCATCAGTAGATCCATACTTTCGCTTGCATGAAGGAGTTTGCTGACAATCACTTGTAAGATTGGTAATGGCTTGATACCTGCTTTTAGCAGCATTGTTTCATAAGGTTGGACTATATATCTTTCCTCCTGAGACTCCTGGAGTTCTCCACAGTCTCTGCAAATGGGATCTGTTTGTGAGAGACTGAAGTACAATTTTGTACACGTGAAGAGCAGCAATTCAAATTGAACACCTCACCAGCTGCAGTTTTTTACACATTGGGTATATTTTAAGCAGGCATCATGGTTATTTAATTACACTGCTGCAATTACATTGATGATGTAGCATAAAATGGGTATGAAGATGATCATAAATTGTGAGAAGGTAAGAATTTGGAAAATTTTATTATACCTCGTCTCATCTGTCAAGGAAAACAATGAAAAATGTATGTCGGGATACACAGTAGTCTACTTGATATCCAAACATGGAAACTCTCAAACACAAGTTCAGAATATTACTACTACACCAGCCTGCTTAATTAATTATCATACATAATAGGATATTTCGGTCTTCAGACTTCACAATGGCAGATTCAAATTTGTATTATTCAGTGGATCAGATGCAGGGAGACCATTGGAGTTTACAATGCCATGGCATTTGGAGTGAATGGTTTACTGTAAGCAAATCTGTTACACCAATGCAGTACAATTTGGGAAGGCATGGCAGAGTTTGTAATATTCCATGCCACTCCACAATCATGGTGTGGTTTATGTTCTGTGATGGATGTAAAGCTACCTGAGGCTCCACCTACTGCCAGTAGGCCAGTAAACATGGAATGTGTTCATATGTCCATTATTTAGGACCGTAAGCAATCATTTCAGCACTGTGCTGTACTATACAAATCACTAAAGTGAACTGTGTGACAAATTCTTCTTCTTCTAACGGCATATTAAATTTGCCATATTTTTCATGCCATTAAATACAAACCTGTGTTAAATGACAAAAATATGCATTTTCTTGAGACTGTCATCATCAAGATTCATTGTGCAATTTACCGTGATATCACAAATTCCTCCCGGCAATCCTGCAAGTGTCCATGAGTCAGCCATGCACTAATGATATCCAAATAAACTTCAAAACTCTTTAGGAACAGCTTCAGCATAATGGCAGTCCATTTGCTGGATGATGAGTCTACAAATTCTCCATATAATGCTGAAAGAAGACTGTTCACATATACATATTAACTTTATTAAAAATCAGCAAAACATCTAATCATCTTATATAGACTGTACTGAAATTTCTTATGCCTTCTGACAGACTTTTCAATATATAGTGGCCTGAAGGTCACAAAGCACAATGATCTGAATATGCTAGTGCACCATAGGATTCTGAATTCTAAAATGTTTTTATCAATATATTATTGTTACTGGGTTAATCCTGTAACCAAATAACATGTGTGTGCCCAGGTAAATAGCAGCAATAAAACAAGAGGCTGTGCAGTTGGTATTTATGCATGGAAAATTTGGTGCTTTACATTGATCTTGTGCTCAAGATATCAATATTAACATCAAATGAAATCAGTATATATTCAGTTATTTGATATGATGTTCCCTTACATTAATTAGAATCGATATGGGGCAAGATTTTGGGTGCATCATGATTACTTCTCTGATATATTGGGTTTCTGGACTTTATCCATCGTCGTAGTTTTTAAGATAAAAAATAAAAACAGTGGACCAGTGATTGAGGCTAGCTCTTTCTAACGGACCCAACAGAATAGGTGTTCCCCTTTTCCTTCACCTGAGGACGGAAACAGATCCAGTTTCTGAAACGTCGTGTTTTTATTTGTTATCTTAAAAACTAGGACGATGGATAAAGTCCAGAAACCCAATATATCAGTGTGTTATACACCATCGTCAGAATCCTATAGTAACTACATGATTACTTCTGTTAAAAAATTATAAAAATTGCCCACAAACTTGTCTGAAATAATGAAATATCTACTGATCAAGACAATGTTATGAATACATATTCCTACTGACCAATATTCTTATTTATTATTTCAATCATACTGACCAATGTTCTATTATTTACTAGTGCGGAATGCACAGAGACTGCTTGATGCATCCAATGCATGGAATCAAACTGCCATAATTTTTTGAAACCTGCATACTTTGACTGAATACAATATAATATAATATAATACATTAAGAAGATCTACATAAATGTACAATATTCAGTATTTTGGTGACAATGTTAGTGAGCTTAAAGAGCATGTTTCAATCTTTTATATCAGTAAACTACACAGTACATCTGATAGCACACGTAGTAAAGAATAACAGCAGCACGCACACAGGAAGACTACACAGGATAACACCTATACAGTGTGGAAACAAGAACTAGCCGCTGCAGCACTTTAGACATAGGGCGAGTAACCCTAACAATTTTAAATTTAAAATTTAGAGAAAAATTTTAAAAGATTTTAAAATTAGAACTAAAGATTTTATAGTGCTACTACAGGAACGTCAAAATTAACGTGTGTAAAATAATCTACAAACCAGACAGATATCAACGAAGTAGATGTTGATAAGAAAAATGAAAGTGTTTTAAATGTTAAATTTTGGGCTGGGTGCAGTGACAGCAACGTGAGTGTTATACACCTGATGATGGCCGTCTGAGGCCGAAACATGTAGTGTAGAGGAGCAAGATCAAGGACACATAATATATTCTTTGCACTTGGGACGGAATTTGTATCATTATATCGTTTATTATATCAGTAAATTTACCTTATAAGAAATTCTGCACTGATCCTAAACTAGTAGCTGTAGACAAGCGAGATCTGATACAAACAAGTTTCAGACTTACTACTGAATTTTATGTACTTTACATCATGTGATATGTCTACAGCACCAACAATTACAGCAGATCAAAAACTGCATAACATCTTGCATAAACATGTTAACAGAATAATGTTTAGCAAGTGCCTGGACAAAAACTGGAGCCACTCTGAATAATGATTTGGAAGGAGGTGCCAAAAAAATTTTAATTTCCACCTGTTCGTCACCATGTGTTACAATATCATTTCATTCATCATGTCACTAAGTCCATGAGTTTCTGGGAGAATTGTAATCACCAGCTTCAAGACTTTATGCTGAAGAGCATTTTTGCTATATAACTAAGCATGCAAAGTCACAAAGGCCCAGTCATGTCTCTGTGTACTTTATTATACATAAGCTAAGATTATAGCAGCATAGTCTGATGGGTCACCAACATCAGTTACTTGCTTTTGGATACAATCCTGAGCCTGATCACATCCTACCATCCTGTAATCCCATATACAACTACAAATAACAGCAGAAGCATTCTTCCAAATGTTCATGTATAATTTCATGTCGTCATATCAGATCAACAGATTAAGGGACTGTCAACTTGAAGATACTTACCAAGAGGCTGAGAGCCAATTAGGCGATGTCTTCCAATCATATACTGCTCTTGTATGAATACAATACATACTACTCAGCTCATGTAATTTTGGTTCCAGTTCATTAGTCAGCTGCAGCAGTGTGTAAGTTTCATCTGAAATTACAGTAACAATTAATTCTATCACCTTGGTTTCCTTTTCACTCTTCACCAGAACAAACAGAACAAATACATGTCACTCTATATACAACTGAAACCTTCTCCCAAGTGTGTCCACTCGTGTGGTGTATCATATCAATTAGACACCTAATTTTGTGGTACAAAAAATACGTTTTATTTTCTCTTCATGACTATCTACACATGTAAATTCAATACTATTTCTTGCAACATATGTCTTAAAAGATCAAATTTTAAAGTTCATACCTTGTTTTTTCACTTTAACTTCAATTTGGATGATGAGTGAATTAAAATCTTTGAGGAACTCCTTCAGTACAGTCCAGTATGCTATGAATGTATTGGGAGGATATTTTGTAGAATTTGCCACTTCTCTATTGTAATTCAGTTCTTCACCAAAGTTCTGAAACTCTCGTATCATTGTGAAGTAAGGACACAGGTGATTCAAGTACAATGCAAATGTGTCCTGTGGAAAGATACCCAATCGCTGTTTAACCCTTTCCATTCTGAGTTTTATTTAGCAGAACTTCCTTGCACTGTATGTACACAAAAATCTCCTTTCATGGTTTCTCTAAGGACCAGCAGATCTGAACGCTAACATGAGAAAAATCTTACATGGAATCAATTTATCACTGTGATTACTGATATGGGATCTCTGAAATTAGTGTTAAATGAGACAACAAATTAAACTGAGTAACATTAAATGGATATTCCACTGCCTATCTATAGTACCTCCAACACATGACTTCTACTAATGAAATACCACAAGTGATTTGAATTAATAGAGAAAAAATCACAAAAGTCTGACATGACTGCACCTAGTCTCCCAACCTCTCTGTAACTAGAAAGGTCAAGTTGATCAGACATGCATCCTCTACATGTACTGTACAATACGGTCACACAATTCCTTGACAAACATTGAGGGAAAATGGACTCTCACTAGAATTCTGACAGACACAAACTTTTGCCAGAAACATTATTAAAGAGTTATGCAATATGGTGACACAGCAGGGGGAACTTTTGCAGTATTTTCTGTGAAATGATGTGCTTGTTTCAATTTTATTAAATGGCATTTCTATCATAATCTTCATCAAGGAACTCACATGGTGTAGTCCAAAGGCAGGAATTTCCAGGCACCCTAACAAATGTTTTTATATTTACCTATGCATGAAGCCATATTTGGCCTCATACAGCCTACAGACTTTCTCATGACAACAGTCCTTCAATAAAAATATCAACTTGCTACCATGAACAGCTTGCAATGCTCCACAGCCCAGATGTTCCAACCTCTCATATTCACTGTCTGTGTCTTTAATATTGTTACCTTGGACACTCTTGCTTGCATACACTTTGCCAGCCAAAACAGAAATAACTGCTGGCTACTTCTGCTGGACATCAGGAATATTCTTTTGTTGTTCCCCGCCACTTCCTTGTGTCAAGAACGACTCATCTGTATTCAATAAATGCTGGCATACTTTCTAAGAAATTTCCAGCAGACAGAAGGAAAGCTGTCACAGAAATAATCTGCAACTGCCAATTGGACTGCCTACTTTCGGTGCACTTTACAGTATTCAGTACAACCAAAGAGTTTGCAACCTTCATATTATCTTTATAGTTAATAAGCAGCGGTCTGAAAGTGCGTCAGACATTGGGAAATTAAATTACACATCTGGGTTCAAAATGATGGTTATGAATTACACCAAAAATAACTTGAATTGTGCTTTCCTCACATACAGAAGAAATTTCCTCAGTCTAAAAGTAATGTGTAAGTTATACTCTGAAATGTGGTATTTGCACATTTTATACATAAAAACTTTCATGTATAATTTTTGGGTGTCAAGGTGTATAAATTATGTAAATATGTTATATGGGTGGAGTTACACAACAGAAGATTATTTAGCAAATTTTAATTTTTGAAATCCATTGAAACCCCATTTAAGTTGCTCAATTTAAAGTTTTCCTTCACTTAATGTTCAAATCCCTACATTTCAAATTTCTGACAATTTAATGCTCCCCTAAGAAACCTTCAATGGGGGTTCCACTGTATTGAACATTTAAATGAATATCAATTATATATTCTACTTTACAACCAGACAACTCAACTATGATACATTTTTATCAGTTCATATCACATAAACACTCTCTTACTAATGTTGGACTTTTGTTGCACTTTTATATTAAAAGAAAGAAACAAGTTCAGGAACAACCATGATTATATACTTGTAACGCTGAGAGTCTGAAAGACGTCTCAAGCAGTAACACTGATAGTGAAAAAATCCAATATTTTGGACTGTATGCACCTCCACCAACAGCCGGATTTTACTGAATATCAACAAAGATTTTAACATAATAAAACTTTATTTCCGCATTTGTGGAGATGATAATACACTATGTATTTAACACATTAATTCTACATTACCTTTGAGAGACTTGATATGGTAATATCTGGCTTTACAGTGAACTTCTTATTCACTTCTCTGAATAAGTAACTTGTTGTTGGTGTAAAGAACATCCAGAGAATTTCCCTCATAACTTTGTATTCACTGAGGATGATTGTCTGTGGATCTTTATGTCCTTGTTCAATCAAATATTGATCCCTGAAAGAAACATAACTAACCTAACTCTCGGGAATACGTTTCTTGAAACACTCATAGTTAGCTGGCTCGCTAGGAGAGTCCTGATCTCTTATGGAACCTGTAGGTCCATTACCACGTTCATAAGAGTACACTACTGAATCCTACACAGAGCCTCATTCTCTTTTTTCAAGATGCATTTTAACCAAGGAGGTCAGCTTCGCACCCCTGCCTGCCAACTTTATCATTATTGAAGGATAACAGATGCTTGTAAAACTTCTATGGGCTATGCAAAGGCAAGTTCATACCAATATAAAAACTGTAAAAGTCAATGGCCTACAAGTAGTTACTATAGGATTCTGACGATGGTGTATAACACACAGAGATATTGGGTTTTCAGACTTTACCCATCGTCCTGGTTTTAAGATAACTAAGAAAAACATGACGTTTCGGAAACTGGATCTGTTTCTGTCTTCAGGTGAGGGAAAACACCTATTCTGTTTGGGTCCCTTAGAAAGAGCTAGCCTCAGTCACTGGACAACCGATGTCACAAAACACAAAGGTTATAAACACCTGAGACCAGGCTAAGCCCATGAGAGCTAATAAGAAAAGTAATATACTTTACAAATTGTTCCAAACACGTACAAGCGTGGAACCAGGGTAGATACAGCCGTAGAAATTTATGTCACGAAACCAAACTAATAACCAGGTCCATGACCCCACGGCATGGAATAGAAAGGAGAACCAATAAAAAACTAATATGTCTAACTAGTGTCAACAATGGAGTAAATCACGTCTATCTAATTTAGAATTTAGATTTTTTTTTTCTTATTAGCTCTCATGGACTTAGCCTGGTCTCAGGTGTTTATAACCTTTGTGTATTGTGACATCGGTTGTTCAGTGATTGAGGCTAGCTCTTTCTAAGGGACCCAACAGAATAGGTGTTTTCCCTCACCTGAAGGCGGAAACAGATCCAGTTTCCGAAACGTCATGTTTTTCTTAGTTATCTTAAAACCAGGACAATGGATAAAGTCCAAAAACCCAATATCTCAATGGCCTACATTTCACGCTACAAGCTGATGACCAAATATGAGATGTAAGATTGAAAACCTAGCGTTTATTTTGAACATAATTTGGCAGGCACTTATGCTGACAACATCCACAGAACACATGCTAGCAGAAAAACCTGTACAGGCATCAATGAGTTCTTCAGTTGTACATTTTCAAAATTTAGAAAAGAATTTACTTACCACAGTTTTGCCCAGTTGGACGCTGGAAATCTGCTTGACACATTATAATGTACTTCTTCAGAAGTCCAATATGGCTGCATAACATTAGTTTCCAGCCACTTCTCTGCTGAATAAACTTCTAGCAAATTATGAATAATATCTTCTTTTGAGATCTTCTGAACTTCCACTTCCAAATTCATAAAAGGAACAGAGTTAATAACTTCTGGTGCTAACAAGTCAGTTCCTTCTTCATCTATTGGTTCATCTAAGTCACTGCTGAATTCTTCCTAATAAACAACCAATGTATTAAAATATCTCCTAAGCGCAAAGCACAAAAGCATGCAAGCAACAAATGGGAATTTATGGAGTTCAATCTAGCAGCATAAATGAAATTATGAATACTGGTGTTCCTATACTCCACATTCCTAAGGCATTTCAGATGGGGCATAACATCACAAATCTGGGGAAACAATTACCACACTTAAAAAAATTGTTTTAGTCTATCTTCTTAAGTGGTTGTGTAAAGCAAAGTAGTCTTATACAGAGTTTTTTATCTCTGTTGACTGGTTCTGCACTTCACGGTGACTGGAGCACTGCTTGCTGCAAGGCACACATAAATTTTGTCAAAGAATTGGCATGATTGATGGTCGATACCATTTAGAATGAAGGAAAGTAATTAACCTTGGACCACTTAACGGCATTATATGTTTCACAGCGGGCAGTGATGTTCATGCATGGGAGTTTATGATTTGTCAGCAGGAGGCAGCAGTTATCAGCTCCATTAGCCATTTGCTCTCAGTTACAATTAGTGAGTTGTGTGGTACATCATTGTGCAGTATACTTTAGAGCAACACATACTTCTGTATGACACCTATGTGGAATACAGATTGGCTAGTGTGTGTTGGTGAAAATTTTGTGATGAAAGAGTTCCCAGTGGACAGACAATTCACAATTTGCTGAATAAACTTAGAGCAGTGGGACTCTTGAAAGACAAGAAATAAAACCTCAAGCACAAAGTGCTTAATGAGAAGTTTGATGACAGAAGGACAACACTTGAACATACACCTAGAAAATCACTGAAACATCTAGCTCAGGAGCCGGAGTGTCAAAATCTAGTGTAAACATGGCAACACAATTGCTGCAGCTTAGACAATATAAAACAACTGTAATCCATTCCTTGAAGCTGCACCTAGCAGGGTCCAGTTTTGTGGTTGGTTTCTACAGTCTCTTCGAAGGTGAGATTGATCGACAACTGACATTCTTTCTGACGAAGTATGCTTTCACTTGCAGGGATATATAAATATGCAAAATAATCACTACTCGTGTTCAAAGAATCAACATCCAACCCATGAAGTCCCACTCCATCCAACAAGAGTTTGAGTCTGGTGTGCTGTAAGTGAAAGGACTGTTGGATCTGTGTTCTTTAATAAAATAATTAATTGCAAAAGATATGTACAGGTCATTCTTGGGCAGTTCTTTCCAGAGTTAAGAGAAGAAGAGAGACTATAGCCGGTTTCAGCAGGACTCAGCTATTGCCCAAACTGCACATATATCTTAGCAGGCTTTTTCTGATGTCTTTGAGGACAGAATTATCAGCAGCAGTACCTGGCCAGCATGTTCACCTAATCTTAATCCTTCTGATTTCTTCTTCTGGAGTTATTTCAAGGCTAATGTTTACAACAATAACCCCTAAACAGGCAAAAAACTAAAATAAAATATTTGTAGGGAAATTGAAAATATTCTTGCAGAACAGCTTCAAAGGGTAAATCAGAACCTCTTCCACCAGTGTAAGGAACGTCTATATGTACAGGGACAGCATTTTCAACACGTCCTGTGATCTGTGAACATTGGTAATAAAGTACCTTCATTCCAAATGTCTTTGACAGTCAGGCATACTGATTCATTGGTAAAATTCATATGTCCCTTGCAGCTAGCAACAACTGGTTTCCATGAAGCGCAGAGCCATGGAACCAGTCAACAAAGTAAAAATTCTCTCTGTATAATTTTGTTAGGATTCGTTTCCTAATATACTACTTTAGTACCTAAACAGTTCAACACTTCACCCAGGCACCATGACACGGCCGCAGAACTTCACATTCACTGACATCAATAGAAAGTGAGTATAAGACAGCCCCAAACAACATAATAAAACAATGTGGTCAAATCCACAGAAACATAAGTCTAACATTAAAGGAACTTATACCTCAGACATTTTGTTTTACACATGTGTACTGTAAAGTTTTCTTTCAATAAAGTATATCCCAGATGATGGTATTGTAAGACCAAAACATGTCAAAGTCTCTGTAACACACAGTCTACTTAGGCAATAAATGAGATATGCTTGGATGGTAACCTGCATTTGATTTCATATTCTTATATAAATTTTCTTCTTTCCATTTGTTCTTAGTGTGTGGGAATTTGTTTTTCCAAATTATTAATCTTTTATGACTAACTGCAATATGGAGTCTTTGGTTTTAGATTTAATATGGGCTTACTGAGTTATGGGCTAATGTACTAGTGTACTAGTTTTAGTTCATTTCTAAGTTTTGTTATTAATGTCTTCCATTTTAATGAAAATGTTCATCTACCATAAATGGTTTTTGATGGGAATATGTCCTTTTCGTCATTGGAATAATTCCAAGCCTTCCCTGGCAGAAGATTTCATTTCGTGTAGATTTTCTATTTGGTTTTTTAATGCTACTGTTAACAATGTACATCCGATCAATTCCCACAGAGCACAATGAAAATTCTGTGTGGTGATTTCAATGCAACTCACCAGAATGCAGGGGAAAATCATAACACAAAGACAGTTACTAGATCCTTTGAAAATGGTGCAAGGTTCAAATATTTTGGAACATCAATAACAAATCAAAACTTGATTCATAAGGAAATTAAGAGCAGATGAAATTCAGATCACAACCCTGTTGTCTTCTCATCCACCGTCCAAAAGCATAAATATTAAAAAACACAAAACTGCAACAATGATTGTAGCTTTTTATGGGTGTGAAATTTGGTCTCTGACATTAAGGGAAGAACACAAGCCGAGAGGTAGCGGGTTCAAGTCCCGATGAGGTCACTGGATTTCTTTAAATTGACCTAATCCTTCCAGCCGCACTATGACCCTACAGTCGACTCAGCCTCTAACAGAAATGTACCAGAATTTATTTAAATAATATTCCTGGGGAGTAAAGTGCGGCCGGCGCGTAAGGCTAACAACCTTACAGCCATCTTTGAGCCAATTGTCTAGATAGTGTGGGACCCTCAACGTCTCACAACACTATGGGCCTTCACGGCCTGTTACAGGGATAGCTTTACTTTTACTTCTTTTTTTTTTTTACATAGAGTGAGGGTATCAGAGTTTTGGATTAAATATTTCCAGTTTTATTCTGATTAGTCCTTGAGAAATGAAACTATAGACTTTGAGTATCTGTTTGTCCAAGTTTTATATTAATATAAACTTGTTCCTATGTAGCCAATAATACTTCTATGCATGTCCACAATCCAGAAATAATGACATAAGCTGTTGCTCTACACTGTTCATAGCATGTATGACAATGCCTCCATATTCCACCCTCCCCACATAATCAGCATACATTCACTCTCTCTGTTGCAATATTATCTCTATTTCTCCTGCCCGTATTGACCATGTCAACCAAGCCAAGGGCACAGCCAGAATTCCTCAGTGCCTTACAGAGCAGCCAGTCTGTGGTGGAAAATTCTGTTGTCTGTTATTGCATTACTACTGGTATTATGTTCCTACTTTACTTTCCCCTCCATGCGTCCAAGTTATCCTATTAGTGCATAGAAGGCCATATATTCATAACAATATATTTCATAAATTGTAACCAGTTTTAGAATGAAAAGAAAAGTGTACTAGTGATGCAAAACACTGCAGTAGTCACAAGGTTAATCTAAACATCTAGCTAACCCAACCTCTGATCACATGTGGCAGCTACTGTTGGGCAACAATGTCAAGCCCTCACCTTCCATTCTGAATGTTTCTTCCATTAGACTGATTCCTATTAAAAAAAAATCAAGTGACACTTCTAGAGAACTGAATGTAGACAGAAGAGGGGAAGCTGCAATAAGAGAATAATTTCTTATTATTACTGGTTCTTTCCTGTCAAATATGTTCTGTGTTGATGTCTTATTATATTTAGTACCACTGAAGAGTTCACACTGCTTTATGGTAAATTAGCAGTAACAACTAGTATTCTGAAAGTACTAAGATGATGCAGGAAAGGACATAAAACACGTCTTTGGCTCATATAACACATTTTCTCTTCAATATTATGCAGCCATATTTTTCTTAACCTCGAACTAATGTCTTACTTACATATTTTATACAAATCAACTTTCATACACAAGTAAATATAACAATATTTAGACTTACACTTGAAGAATCATCATAAACACAGACAAATTTTTCGTCCCCTTCTCGTAAATATGAAGCCCAGTCAAAACTGTCTTCTTCTTCTTCTTCGGGTACTTTGACAGCTGTATGAGTTGCCTGACGGTGATGAGCAGAGGCTGTTGGATTGTTAGCCAAGTGAAGAAGCAGAGACAGCAGCGAATACTGGATGTCATACTGCAGAAATACAAAGTGTATATACAGTAAACCCTCTCTAATCCAGATTAAATGGGGGAAAGGCCATCTGGATTAACCAATAATCTGAATGAAGCAAAAGATAGTCCTAAAAACCAAAAAACTTAGAAAAATGGTAGATTTAATAATATAGTAGTGCTGATAAAAATAAATAAAAAATATAATTGCAGCAATTTCTTCCTCTGTCAGAAGCTGAAATCCAGGGTCTCCTTCATCCAGCAAAAGTCAGTCTTGGATATTTTCTTGCATGGTTTCAGTCTCTCCAGTCTGAAAGTCCTCTTGCTCTAATCCCTCTAGCTCCTAAATTCCATGTGTCTTTTAAATTATGTACTGAACTGTGAACAGACATTTTCATTTTTTCATGTTTCAATCTGGACTATCCAACATCCAGATTAAATGTAACCAGATTAGTGAGGGTTTATTGTAAATCAAAAATACTGTCCAAAAACAATGGACGATAATACAAGAATTAAATAAACATGGTAGAATAAAGTAATGATTGTAATAAACTTTTTTACTTAGATCACATCATTTGGGCATGCATACATGCATCATCTACAAACTTCTTGCAAAATGAATATTTTCCACTTAACAGCCCAAATATGACACACCATAATTTAACCTAAAGTGAACCCACAATGGACAAACTTGTTGTCCTACCGGTTAAAAGGGACACATTAATGCAGCTGCATAAAGACTCTCATTAATATCTAGATATGAAGATTTTCTTTTATATACACCAAAATGAATAACTGTACCTCATACTGTACATGAACTACAAACACAATAAAAATTAAAACATAATAAACACCAACAAAAATAACAAATCTAAAAAGAAAAAAAAAAGTGTAATGCAAGAAAGAAATGTGGGAATGTACGAGAGATTATGTGTTATATTGCGCTGCTGACTTCTTCTATATTTGAAGCAGACCCCTTTGTGGATTCTTTAACTGTAATAAATGAATGAATGAATGAATAAAATGTATATTTAAATTAACACTGCTGCCTATTGCTAGAAAGCAATGGACTATGGAATGAATACTCAGGAAAAGGGTGTTATTACTGTTGTGATACAGGTGTATTATATATTAAGAAAATAGATTTTATATTACTATATTAAGGATCTTGATGGTCTTTTGATCATGTATGTAATTTTAAATGTTATTTTGATATATGGAATGTATTGCTGTACAGTAGTTTTGTTGTATTGAGTATTAAAATTTTGACGATGATGACTATCTGATTATGTATGTATATTTATATGTTATATTGTATTATTGACTTGTTCTATATCAGAGGCAGATGCCTCTATGGATTTTTTGGAACTATAAATAAATGATAATGATAATGATAATGATAAGGACAAAATACTAGAGCACATGTAGGTCTGTACAGTAACATGGCACGTTTGATAAACTATGAAAATTCAATTTTTCCACATTTGACAAATAACTGTTCACATTTGTTTTTATGTGTACGTGTACTGGCAATGTACAAATACACGCTGGACAAGGATTTACTGTACTAATATAACCTAACTTAAAACTATAAAGGATTTCAGGTTCTCATGCCAGTGACTACAATGGGCATGTTCTACTGGTTGTAACCTGCATAGCACAGAAGCAGCCTGGCATTTCAGAGGAACATACTGCCTCCATCTTCAGAGTCAAAAGTAAGCCAAGCCAAGCTGGGATGAAGCTTTCCACCTGCTTCTGCTGATTTCTTGCTTACTTTGAGGCGATATTTCATTTAATCTCATTTATTCTTTAAATTCAATAAATCCTTTTAGGCCAAGCCTAGGATGTAGAACAAGTCACAATTAAATCAAAACATACACAAGAACAGTTCATAAAACAGAACTCAGTCACATACAGAACAGTCATAAAAAAATACATAGTGACAATCAAACCACAAAAAAAGTGGAAATCGTTCAAGTTACAATCGATTGAATTACAACCAATAAAAGCCTACACAACATAACCATAACATATACATTTCACTAAATTTCAATATTAAGGTATACTAAAAGTTCAATTAACGAATACAAATATACATATAAAATATGATAATTACATATATCTTATGAGATAAAACACCTGAAGATGACATTATAGATATTTTCGGTCCTAGTATGGTTCCTCTAAAATACCAGGCTCTCTCTGAACTACACAGAGTTACAACCCAGACAACTGGTTGCTTCTTAACCAAACCTTTCATCAAATTTGGTTTTGTTGGAGAAATATACAAACATATCCAGTAGAAGAAAAAATTATATTTGAGATTCTCACAGCAGTGAACATTAACATATTGTCTAATGGAAAATAACATTTCTAAACTGAGGCTGGAGAACACAGATTCATCAAACATTGGTACCTGTCTAATGAACTACATGGAATCACATCTCAGAAGACACTAATATAAAAAAAAGAATGTTTTCACCTGGCCAGTATAATTGAGGATCTATTTCAAGGAAACAGAGGCTACGGTCTAGAAAACCTAAATTAACGGCCATGGGGATTGGTTGCGCTGACCACGCGACACCCTCTATCCGCAAAAGTTGGCACTAAACTTCGCCAACAAGCAGCAGTCACTCGGTCGGTACGGTTCGCTTGCGGACTAAAATCACAGAGTTTTTTTCCTTCTTCTTCTTTCTTTTTAACTTTGCCAGTACAAGTACAGAAATCTGCTGTTAGTGTGTCTGCATCACGCAGTACTGTGTGAGCAGAAGGGGCATGACAATGATACACAGATGTCCACTAAATACATTTATTGCTTCAAAGCGTTATATTTTTGTAACCATGACATACAACTGATTGAAAGAGAAATAAAATTATAACACATATTTTGAATTTTCATTGGTAAAGCCTAACATGTACAGCTCTAGTGATATGGCAGATTTCAAGATGACATTCCATCTCAGCCCAAACACAAGTTGGTGTTATGGATTCAATTTAAATATTTCAACACCATCAACAAGTTTAATGTCCTTTACTTTTATGTACCCACAGAAAAGAAAGTCACAAAGCATTACATCTGGCAAGGTAGAAAGCTATGAAACAGGGCTACATCTTCTTATCCAACACTTGGAAACTTTTCATTTAAATCAGTTCAAAAACTGCTAAAAGGGAACAATGTACAATATTTTTTGGAAAAATTAAACTTCCTCATCTGTCAGTTTCAGAAATACATCTTTTTTAACAAAACCAAATACGACCCCTGTTATGGTAATCTCAGAAAGAACAGTGTTAGGGCCAAGGCAGAAATTTTTCTCAATATCTGCCACATTATATGAGATGGATATGTGGCAAATTACTAACACAAAATTATGCGTTGGTACTTTTTTATGTCCCTTAATTATGTCACACAGTTAGAAAAATGTCACATTTTGAAACACTTAACAGAGTCTGTGGAATGCTGTACATGCATGCGGACACAAATGTACAAGAACAAAATTTTATCAT